GAGGCCCCAGGAAAGGACTTGTGAGCGGAGTTCTTACGGTTCCCGGCAATCGCGTAAGTTACGGAGAGAAAATGAAAGGCTTGAGGGTGAGGTCAAGAAAGCTGCTGGGTCTCAGTCAGCTTCAGAGTCCACCTCCACGTCCAAACAGCCTTTACCTGGATCGGCCCCTGTGCCAGCTCCTTCCCAAGATCAAAATCAAGCAGCTACAGGACTTTACTTGTTGTTTCCATTTTTTTGAAAAAATGATCAAGGCATCGTTTGTTTGTTTTGGCAGCTCCAAGAATTCTGCATAGAGTGTTTTTTTCGAATTGAATTTTGCAGTTGGTGGTGAATCCAGTGGTCCAGTGGCAGGATCTCCGTCCATGGTCGTTGGTGGGCCCCCTTCTTCCGCCAATGGCGGCTACCAGCATTCAATTGGAACGGAGGGCAGTGAGGGCAGACTTTCGAAGAGCCACCTGCTGGCTAAAGCCGAAGCTGGCTTAATGTCGTTGGAGGAGCTGTGGAACTCATGAGAAAAATGCCTTTGGATGTAGTTCTGTTTTGAAGCTGAGAGGATGCTTCTTCAAATGTGGGTACATGTTTGTGCGTTGTTTGTTTCTCCAAGGCTCAGCGTTGCTTTTGTTTGTACGTTTATGGAGCATGAACCAACCGTTTTGATAGCCATTTACCACCCAAGTTCATTTTGTTTCAGCTTCTAGAAATGCCACCTTTCAAATTGGAAAGGAATTGGACATCCGAAGAGGACCGTTTAAGGAAGAGGCAGCAATGGCTCACATATGTCACCTTATATGCTGAAGAACGGATTTGCGCTTCTTGCTGGGCATCACAGTTTGAAGAGTACTTGGATAAGAATCTCAGCAAGAATTGGTGCATGGTTGTATGAAGGATTTCAAAAATGCTGTGATTGGGGACTGATGGAGTTTCTTGTTTCGTGATGATGCATTCAATGGCTTTTTGAAACATTTCTGCGCACTCAAGGTGTTGCTACAGAGCGCTTCTGTGCACTAGTTTTGATTGCCGATGCGAATCTGATCCCGCACCGTCCGCACCCAGCACATCCAATTCAAACAAAGATGCATCAGACTCAGCAGATTCAGCAGAAAGCAATTAGGTTTCATAGGTCTTTGCAAGCTGCCCCAGAGGCCAAAGAGGATGGTTCCGCTTCTTGTTTTGTTTTGCATTTTTCAATTATGACAGTGCCCGTCCCCCATGAACTTACAGGCAAAACTCTTGGATCCACCCTCGCTCTCAGCATTAGCATTGTAGCCTTCCAGCGGCAAGGCTCTTCTATGCATTTTAATTTGCTAGGCTTCCACATCCACTTCCCGGTGTGACTGCACACCATTGGTGGTTGGCTGACAAAGTCAAACTGGAGCGAAACCGGGTGGAAAGAATGCAATGATGAGTTTGCATGTATAGTTGTTTTCAATACAGCAGTAAAGCAAAATTTCACACTGTAGATTGGAGAAATCTTGGGAAGCTTGTTGTGTTTTCTGTTCACAATGAGTTTTACTTTTTTAACATTTTGATGAGTCTGGTTTCACTTGTTTGCGGAAGTTTTCAAAGAAATTTTCTCTACCATGATGTGATTCATTATAGTTATTTTTTTTGAAATAGATTGTAGTGTTTGGGTTGATTTTCCTGAACTTTTGCTTGCATCGAAACATTTCCTGTATTCTAGTTCATAATACAACAAAAATTGTTTGGGTCTCATGATATTTATGGAAAATCTTAGAACCAAAGTAAGATTCAGTCAATTTGGACTTTTCCTCCACAGCTTTTCAACTTTTTTCTTGAGCCTTCCATTTCTGGTTGTTTTGTCCAAATCTTCATACAGCCCAGGGTTGTGATTGGCTTATTGAATATTATTTATTTCTTTTGTTCAAGATTATTGATAAAAATATATTTCTGGAGTTTCACCTCACTCTTCCCCCAATCTTCCTGGATCCTTCCTGGATCCTTCCTGGACCCTTCGTGGACCATCCCTGGACTATCCCTCGACTCTCCCTCGACTCTTCCTCGACTCTTCCTCGACCCTTCCTCGACTCTTCCTCGACTTTGCCTCGACTCTTCCTCGACTTTTCCTCGACTTTTCCTCGACTTTTCCTCGACGCTTCCTCGACTCTTCCTCGACTATTCCTCGACTCTTCCTCGACTCTTCCTCGATTTTTCCTCGACTCTTCCTCGACTTTTCCTCGACTTTTGCTCGATTCTTCCTCGACTTTTCCTTGACTTTTCCTCGACTTTTCCTCGACTTTTCCTCGACTATTCCTCGATCTTCCCAGACTCTTGACTCTTCCTCGACTCTTCCTCGACTCATCCTCGACTCTTCCTCGACTCTTCCTCGACTCTTCCTCGACTTTTCCTCAACTTTTCCTCGAGGATTCTTCGACGATTCCTCGACTCTTCCTCGACTATTCCTCGACTCTTCCTCGATCAGTCCTCGATTTTTCCTCGACATTTCCTCGAATCTTCCTTTCCTCAATTGTTCCTCGACTTTTCATCGACTTTTCCTCAACGTTTTCTGGACTATGCGTCAACTGTTACTCGACTGTTCCTTCAGGTTATCAATTGCCTTTCTCGAATTTCCTGTTGTGAAGGAACGATTTCATTCTCCATGGCTCCTGGAGATGACTTAAACCCTGCAACCGTGTGTCCCAATGTTTTATTTTTCATTTATGAATACTTTGATCGTTTTTTTTGGAAAAATCATACACGTTTATTTGCAATGTTCAGGAAACTTCGATATCTTTCTTCCCAGGATGCTTTTTGCAAATCAATAGCAGTTTTCTTTCTGAATTTTATTATTTAAAATGATTTCTGCAGTCAATGGTTCAATCGGTGCGTTTTTATATGCAGCTGACATAATGCGAATGATTTTGTGTTTCTTTCAGCTTCAAGCAGTTACAGTGCATATGCAGATGTTGGATTTCAGGTGTGCAAACATTATGTGTGAAACTCTGCTTTCAATACACATTATCAACATAATCAATATTGTTATTGAAAGCTTCAGAAGCCCGGCATCACAGAGACGCCATGAAGCGGAAATCCTCTTCATTTCTCAGTGAAGGATCAGATATGACTGAGCTTGTCCAAGAACTTTCCGAGCAGCCTCTTCCACCAGGCCCGTCAGAGTATGCAGGCTTGTTTCGATGGCCAGAAGAGTTCTGGCGTAGATTGCATGGTTTGCTACCCGCTGAGATTCTGGAATCCAATGTGAGAAACCATGGCCAGATTTATATGACGTCTCATTTTTCAGGCGTTGGGACTGCTGAAATGGCATTGGCCATGATTCAATCTTTTTTTCGAAGGTCTGGAATTTGGCCTGGAGAGTCTTCACAGTCTTCGGATTCGGATGCACCAGCCCCGACCCCTGTGGTTTTTCACTCCAGTTGTGACAGTGACAAGATATGCCAGGATGTGCTGAAAGCTCATCACAGTGTGTCCAGATGCCAGCATTTGTTTGGCGATGTGTGTTCGGCCGCCCCTGGCCATGTAGTGAAACTTCTGGAAGATAAACTACGCTCTCTCCAGAGCAAGTTTTTGGCGCAGAGCTTCAGCAGCAATGAAGACAAGATTCAGGAAAGAGTTGCTCTGGAGAAGCGCATGCATGCGTTTGCAGTGAAACTCTTGGACAGTGAGCCAATGAATAATGCTTGTCATTGTTTGGTGCATGGCAGACAATGCAATCTTTTTCCAACTGCTGAGTCCACAGATCACCGTATGCTCTTCCACATTGAAGTGGCAGGATCTCCTTGCATTGCTTTTGTCCGTGGTGGAGCTTACGGAACTGCGTTGCGTTGGCTACATGAAGTGACAGTGCCATTTTACATTTGGCTTTTTTCTGTCAAGAAAGCTAAGCCTGCCATGATAGTACATGAATGCGTTCCTGGATTTGATGTGAATGTGGTTGATGCTGGCTTGAACAGCCAGGGATTGTGTTACCATGTTCAGTCCTTAGTTTTCAGCCCTGAGGAAGAAGGTGTACCCATCAAACGACAAAGGCGATACACTTTGGGCTTGCGGTCTGACCTGTGCCCACCGCTTCTGAAATTCGATGCTGCAACATGGAGGTGTGTTGCTTTTGCAGAGCGAGTTGCAACTGCTGAGATGTATTTCCAGGCGTCCAAGGAGCTCTTGAGTGTTTGGAAAAAAACATTAGCCAGGCGCCGGGCTCTTCCAGACAGACCTACCTTCGCCAAGCAGGATGAAGATTGGTGTTGGCAGGCTTTGCTGACCTCCACTGAGCGTTTGTTGGTCAACGAAATCAGGAATGAAAATTTGAAGGAGATTGCAGACATTGAAGCACAGATGAAGAGTTTGGATCCATTTGATCCAGAGCGGCAAGAATATGAAAACACAATTGCTGGCAAACACCGATGGCTTGTCAATGTTTCTCAGAGCAAAGGGTTCCAGCCCAAGTGCTCAAATCATCGTTTGCTGATTATGCCAGCCCTTTTACGATCTGCAAAGTTTTTCATTGATGGAGAGAATGTGAGTGAAAGCAGGTTGGTGCATCCTTTGGAGCTGATGGCAATGCAAAGCCTTCCCGTTTTGCTTCCTCAAACTTTGCAGGATTTGCATGGTTTGAATTTCGAATCTGTTCTATCAGCTGCCAACGTTCATGCACAGAATTTAACAGGATTGGCAGGAAATGGAATGCATGTGAGCAGTGTTGGAAAAACATTGATGTTTGGCTTGGCGGTCATCATGTCAGATTGTACTGTGTGATATACCACTTTGCAGCCTGCTTGCAAAGATTTTGGCGCTGGAAAAAAGTTTCGCTTTTGATTGTACAGTGTGCATCCACTCCATCATGACCATGACCCCATGATGTTCAGTTCAAAACCCAAAGCAGGGTCAACCTTCCAATCTTTTTTATTTGTATAGTACGGCTGCAAGGATGCCGTATCTTATTTTTTTCTCATCTTGGTGTCCCAGAGCTCAAGTGAAGCTTCACATTTCCTTTGCCAATCTAGTGGCAAGTCCGGCCCTGCCTCATGGCTCTCTCCCAGCCGGCCCAGCCGGAGACCCAGCCTGTTGAGCTGGAACTGGACGCTCCATGTGAACTCCAGTTGTCATTTGCTGGAGCATCTCTTGACCACCAAGAGCATGCTGGGCAATTGGTGGAGAGTGATGAAAGCCATTTGGATGCATCTTCCATGCCGCCCCCTCAGCCTCCGTCAAAGAAGCAGAAGAAACAAAAGTCGGATATTGGAGAGTCTGACAACAAGAGCGTTACTTCGAGTGATGCCCCTTCCAAAACTGCTTCGACTTCGAAGGACTTGATCGGAGTCAAGAAGTTTGGCCGTGGATACACCAGGCAGTGCAAAGGCTGTCAGCTTTGGTTCAAGCCAGAAGGGATGGCTTCCAAGAGCAGCTTTTGTAGCAAAGATAAGAACAAGTTGGACAACCTGAGCCGCTTGGCCAAAGCCCAGGGCAAGGCCAAATGGCTTTCAGAAGCACGTCGCGATGAAGACAAAATCTCCAAGATCTTGAAAAAGTACTCAGAGATGAGTGGTGATGCTGGGACTCCTGGTGGGAAAAAGCAGGCCAGGTGGGCCAGGTGTTTTTTGAAAATGGTTGTCACGAAATGATTGGGGCTTCCGCTTGATCTTCTTGTACCATTTTAAACATTTTTTGGGAATGTTGCGGCTTATGATGGGCTCATGATGGGTTTATCTTAGCCTTATGTTGGCATGGTGCTTTGATATTTTTGGGTGCTGTTGGGTTACAGTGAGCAATGTTGGGTTCAGACAGCATGCAGCATTCCATTCAAATTGTTGCAGTAAGACTCCCCTGCTGGTAGGTGCCCAGGGCTACGTTGTTCAGCACTTTGGAGAAGACCGTTGCCACCAGCAGGGTGATGTATGACACCAAGCATCGCTTCATGCCAGAGGATGCTTATGTGAAGCATGTGACCGAAGTTTTGCTCGAAGGAGAAGGTCGCCTGACCAAGGCCCAGGCGACTCTTCAATGGTAACTTGGAGTCAAGTGAAGATATTGTTTATATTTTTTTGGGCAGAATTTTATGGAAGGGATACATTAGGTTTTGCTTGCTGCATCTCCAAGATCCAGGCAGCAATGGTCAACGCTGATTAGTGAAAACCCGGAGACAGAAGAGGTGATGTGGGATAAGAAGGGCAGCGGTGGACAGTTGAGAGTGGCTGTGGCCATTGAGGACAATTTGCATTTGAGCAACATTTACGACCGTGCCAAAGAATTCTCCAGCAAAGGGAAGGATGAGAAAAGTTTGACAGAGGATCAGATTAGCCAGCGAAAGCGTCAGTTGTTTGTGAACCATGACTCGGGTCATGATGTGGATGCCAAGGCCATTGGCCAGAGCATGGTTCGGGCCAGTGGCAGTTCCACAGCTGGAAACAGCTTTTGTGCTTTGGCGAGTGAGTTGGATGTCGATGAGCTGGAGCCCAGGAAGGATGACAGCCCAGAAGGAATTGAAGGATCTGGTGGTGAAGAGTCCCAGGAAGAGAGCAATGTGCGCCCACAGGCAAAAGCCAAGGCCAAGGCCTGGCCCAAGGCAAAGGCCAGGACGGAGAAAGCTGAATCTCGCAAGGGCTGGTTTGACCGGGACACAGCCATCGCCAGCAAGGCCCGCAGTGAGACCACAGCTTTGTGCGGGCTTCAGGTGCAGATGAGCAACAAGCTCAAAGAAGCCCAGGCGCAGATGGACGAGGTGGCGACTAAGCCAAGTGAGAGCCAACATGAGGTTTGTGTTGAGAATGACACCCTGCTTCGCAGAATGACCTTCTTGGAGGCAATGTTGGATGATGATTCCACAAAGCTTAAGGAGTTGATCCAGCAGCAGGTGACCGATAAGAGTTGCATGGAGGGTAAGGATGATGAAAATGGAGATGGGCAGTCTTCTTGGCAGGCGCAAGTGTCAAAAGCGCCACCATGTTTTTCGGCTGTGCTGATTTGATATTATTCGATTTTTTTGCAGATATTTTTGGGTGAGTTTCATTTGTTTTTCTTCAGCTGAAAGGATGCTGAGGAGTTTGCAATTTAGTTCCAATATATTTTTCTTTTCTGAGGCTAGTCTTATGAAGACTTGGTGACCATCGCTTCTATCAATGGAAGATTTGATGGCTTTTGGAAATGCGAGTTCATTTGTTTTTTCTTCAGCTGAAAGGATGCTGAGGTTTTTTCAATTTAGTTCCAACATATTATTCTTTTCTGAGGTCAGTCTTTTGAAGACTTGGTGACCCTCGCTTCTATCAAGGGAAGCCTTGATGACTATTGGAAATGCACTTCTGCCAATGAGCTTCGAGACGTAGCCCGTCAGCGCACCTTGTCTCGCAAGCCCATCACGGAGCTTGTGGGTGCAGTGAATGTTGGCATCAAGGAGCTGAAGAAGGCCCTGACAGCTTTGGAGCAGCGCAATGCAAAGAGATTGGCTCCTTCCACTGCCGCTGGTCCTGGCCGCAAGAGGTCCAAGACTGCAGCGGTGCATCCATCAGCTTTTGAGGCTGGCTTGGACAAGGACAATACCTTCAATTCCATTGCATCTGATGCCCTTTCAGCTTTGAGCTCGGATCAGGTCAATTTGAGTTTGCCCTTGATCGTCAAGTTCACCAGCTTGGCAGCGTTGCTGTCTGATGTTTTTTGAACATGTTCTTGGCTAAGCTTTTTTTTCAATACGATATCTTTACTGTTTGCAACACGCTTGTCCCACTGCTACACTGTCTCCCTTCCTTCCTCCCTACTCACCCACACTGTCTCCTACCCTGTCTTCTTCCTCACTGGCTTTCACTCATCCCTCTCAGGTGTCAGTCACTTACTGTGGGTCAGTGATGTGTCATAGTTTGAATTCTTTGTTTTTATGTTGCCAATCAGTGACTCATCAGAGGCTTCGATCAAGCAGTCTGTGGATTCCTTCGGTGCGGCCTTCGCCCGGCATGTCAAGTCCAATGAGAAGTCAAACATGACCAAGCCCCCAGAGGCCCGCTCAAAGGTGCGGGCAGCTTCTCCTTTGTTCTCAGCAGAGGCCAACGATGCTTGGGCAAGTTTCTGCACTAGCAATTTCATGGCTCACATGGTGCCCGAAGAGGTTGGAGCTGTTGGCAAATCAGTCCTTCATGTTGGCGTGCAGGCTGGTGCCAGCACAGGTGCAGCTGAGAAGGGTTGGCAGGCCAGCCTGAGATTGAGCATCTCCGGCACCAAGACCATCTTGGCCTGCTCTGCTGAGACGGCCATTGCAACTTTTGGCGTTATGGATCCGACCGCACTGTGGCAGAAGTTTTTGCAGATGAGCCCAGAGGATGTTCAGAGGATGGTTGATTTACAGCGAAAGGAAATTACTTTGTGGGCAGGCACAGTTGGACCCAATGAGCTGTTCTATTTGCCAGCAGGATGGATGTTTGCTGAATCGGTACTCCCCAAGGCCGACTGCATGGGCATTCTTTGCCGTGGTGTCATCAATGAAGGCTCCGCTTACAACCAGCTGCAAGCCATTCGGAAGCTGCTTTCATCTGTGAAGAAGAATGATGCAGAGTTGGACGCAGTGGTTGCAGCCCTGGCAGCCCTGGACAAAAGGGCATTGGCATCAACAGTCCCCACTGAGCCTGAGCCGGCGGCGCTGGCGTCGCCTGGGCCGAAGCCTTCTCCTGGCGAAAGCGCAAGTCCTTCAGGAAAGAAGGCGGATGATGTGGAAGCACATGGTGGTGGGAGCGAGATTCCTGTGGAGGAGCAGCTTGCGGCGCAGGATTCCCAGTCGCAGCAGCTGACGGCATAACATCTTCGCGATGAAGTCGGATGAAGTGAGTTGAGAGAGCGTATGATTTCAAATGTGGTTTGCCACATTGATTGGCAATGAAGCTCGTAGATTTTACCGTACATTACAAGCCAAGCCAGGCTCAGGCTCAGGAAAGCTCGTGACTTGTGATCCTGAGAATTTTGCTGCTTTGGCGACTCGTTGTCCAGTGTCACGATTGGGCTCCAGAGATCATATAAGCTTAGCCAGTGAATTAGGTGCTGTTGTTGCCCCGGGTGTTGTGTGTGGGGATTCAACAAAGATATCTCTTGGAATATTTTTTCCAAATTGATTGGAAGTCGGAAATTGGAAACCACAAAGTATTTTGATATTTATTTGTCTTGGTCCTCACCCAGCAGCGCGGCACTGCAGCTTTAGCAGTTCCATTTTGGGAACATTGGCAGCTTGATCCCAGTGCAGAGGCAGAAAATAATTTCCCGGCATTTTGCGAATTTGCGAGCTGTAGTGCTGCAAGAATTTCATTGATGTGGATTTTTTAGTTGGGATTTTCAAGTTTGCAGCTGCAAGGATGCTGCATGCTGGGCCCGGCCCGGCGCATAGGTTGACAGATTTCAGATGGCCAGCATGGTGCTTGAAATTTTGTATCCGAGCAGTCGTGGCTCTGAGGTTAAGCGAAGTTTTAGTTGGGTGTAGCCGCCATGAAGCGTGGCTTCCTTCTGTTTGATTCCAAGTCCAAGTCCAAGAAGAACATGGAAACCACCCACAGCTGCGAAGTTCAAAGTGCATCCCCAAATCCTTGCAACAGTTCCAAAGCTACAGCTGCTCCCTCGAACGCTCAGGCCAAGAAGAATACCAAGCCCAAATCCGAGGTTGTGACTCCGTTTTCTGTGGAGGAACTTGGGGGCACTGTCAGCAGTGAAGAAGGAGAGTCTGACAGTGTTATTGCAATCAGCCGGGATGACGCCAAGAAATTCCAAGTGAAGATCACCAATGAGCAGATCCTTCTCTTCTACGGTGAGGACGAGGATTCAGAAGATGGCTCAGATAAGTTTCCTGACATTCACATTTCCGATGATGAGCAGTGACAGTCTGGATTCTTCCGTGTCGATTTTGGCTGTTTCGTGCAATAGGTGCTACTAGCATCTTTTGTTTTGCAATAGGTTGAGTTGCGTAAACCTTCAACTTTCCAGGCACTGGGCCATTATGTGCCACAGATGCAGGTTTTGACATAGACCTTTGTGCCGTGCCAGCAAAAATATGTCAGCCTGTCAGCCGTGGCTCAGTGCATTCGCAATGCTTGCTCAGATTGTGTGGTTTACAATTTCCCACAAGGTTTTCCCGGAGAACAGTTCTTCCATGGATATTTTGGCAAAGTGTGTCATGTTTTATTTTTATTGGCTAACGCCTAGATGACGCCGATCCCCCTGCCACAGCAATCAGATGTTAGAAGCCACCAGCAAAAACAATAGCAACAGCTAGTAAGTCCAAGCATCCCAGCAGCAATGCGACAATCATGCAGCATTGAGTTGCGCTGCGCTCTGTCAGATTTGGAAAATAAAGTGAGCATCAGTGAGCACCGCTGCCGCTCACGACATGTAGATTTTAAAATTTGGTTTTGTGAGTTGTCAATGCATGCTTTGATTTCTTTAAAGGCAGGTATGGGACTATGGGATTGATTTGGCAAAATGCATTTTCTGCATTGCCACTGGCCATTGGCGCAGAAGAATGAAATTATGAACAAACTTGCGGATTTTTTATTTTTCTTGAGGCGCCTAGCTCTTCATGCTGGCTCATGCGCAGTGTCTACCGAGATATTGTTGAATTTAGTTGTGTATACATGTTCAAGCCAATGTAGCCATGCCCGCTTTCTGCTACCCTAATTCTCATGGATTCTTACCCTTCAAACCGGAACCTAGCGAAGCTAGTAAATGGTGAATCATCATGTGTCCATATATTTGTCCCCATTTACATGGTTTTTTCTTGGGGAAAAATATTTTGAGACAAACCCATGGTAGTTTAGTGGGTTGCAGAGGGGATGTGAGCTTGTGTGGGTCACTTTGGAGGTTGTTGGTGAATTTCCTTATAATAGAGCAGATTTCACCTCCACTTTTGGCATGTTTGGTGTTTGAACCACTACTTTAGTTTCTGGTCAATTAGTGGATGATATTGGCAAATAGACTTGCACTAACTATCGTGACTATCCACTCACTATCCACTTACTATCCACTATTTGTCCGCTGGCTACACAGGAACCACTGGGAACGTCCACGCTTGGAATTTATGGCGGGTACCAAGGTGGAACACAGGTTGGATTTCCAAATTCCAATGTAGTTATACAATATCATACGGTAAATCCAATGTCATAATTCAACCCCACTTGGTTTCATGAAATGGGGCCATACCCCTTTTATACCCCTAAATTTGAAAAGATGTACGAAATCACCCTGAGTCATGGTTCCTGAGACTTGTTTTTGTTGGGGGGGCGTTGCCACAGTGCTACTGTTGCTACGCTAAGGAAATTGAGATAAGGTGAGCAAGCAAATGGATAAATAAATAGTAAGCAAATACTTGAGGGCAAGTGTATAACCTAACTATATAAATTACGAAGTAACTAGCTCTGTGAACTAAGTTTTTGGTGTAGAACCCATATGGGCCAAAATGCATATCAAACATTTGGTTGTGGCGCGCCCATTATGCTTAGATTTGGGTATGCGGCGGCTGAGTATCGCTGAGTACTGGTAAACAATTCACATGAAACGCATAGGCAAGTTACCGACCCGTTTTGTGCCGTAAATGAGGTAATTACTAGACACCCAGCCATGGTTTTTCAAGAATTTGTGCAGATAATTGCAGTGTACATTTCCCAGAACTATTCGGGTGCATTTGGTGGCACTTGTGTAATGCTGTGGACATGTTGAGAGAGTACAACCCCACACTATTTGGACTAGCAAACAATGTTTTGATTGAGCACTCCAAGTTTTAAGTTGATGCTCCATGTTTAGTGAGTTTTAGTACCTAAGCACGTTCTATCCTGAATCTGATCCACCGTTTACATCTGGCCAAAAGGGTTTCCGCCAGGGTGGGCAGCCGCGGGCGCAATGGCAGCAAACAGCGGCTGCGCCCAAATGCCTTGGAGGACCAGCTGCGTGGTATTGCACGTGGTTTTTTGGTGGTTGTAAGTTTGTAAGTTGTTTTGTAACTTTAGATGAGGGTTGTCACTTCTTATTTATTTTCAGGGAACATAGGAATGCTCCAAGCAAGTCCTTCATTCCGCCCCATGTTTGAATGGAACCATGGCACTGACCAGCTACGATCGGATCGTCACCCGAAACCTTGGGTACCGAACGTGTAAATCAACATTCTGACTTGTTTCGAAGAAGGGGCATGGCATGGCCTTGCCAATTCTACAAAGATAGCCTTGCCAATGCTACAAAGTTTTGGCAGGGTGGGGTAGTGGTCGGACTGTTCTTATTACTATACTGAACCCCCTCCTGAAAGCCCTTGGGGTGACGCAAAGTTTAGTATTGTTGAATCCCGAAAATTGCCAATGTTTTGTGGTATTTGTTACGGTTGTTCTTTTGGTGTGTATGTGTGTGTGTGTACCGTCTGAATAGACGTTAAACTTCTTTTACTTATTATATATATATATATATACGCGGGGGATCACCGGGGTCCCGGGGGGTCGGTGATCAACGAAGACACCTCCCCGGGACCCGTGCAAACGTACCCGCGGGACTGTGGTGACGCACCTGGGCGCAATTATAAGACGCAGCTGGTGGTCACCATAGTCCCATATATATATATATTACTTCATCCTTATCTAAGTAACTAATCTAATCTGCATGTTACAGGACTCAGTTCCTGCCGGATCATATAATGATCCATTCTTGTCTAGTGTGATTCCTATGGTGACTCCGACATGGTGCCATAGGGCCATTTGAGGCAACCCCAGTTGGGGTCAATGTCGACTGACTTGAACTCCGAATTTACACATGTTAATCTGGTAATTCGTCTAAGTAAAGTGCAACAGTTGGCCTTGCCGTTGTGCACCTTTTCACAAAGTCTCGCCGACCCGGCTGTCCCAGGGTTTCCTCGCCAACGCAGTTCTTCCACTTTGCAGCCGTGCCGAACATCCAGAAACCTCCTTTTTTTTCGCAGCAGCTTTTACAGTTACATTACAAGAGACAGAACGCAGGCAGGTACACGACTTTTAGGTGTGGTCTTTTTCTTTTGTTGGTTGTCTGGTGAGGTGAAACATATTGTGCACCTAATTCGTTGGAATTTGGAAGCTGTTTTATGCCCTTGTGGCTGACTTGAACACGGGCCTGTTGTGGCACAATCGCACGAATTCTAGGTCTAGGAACTGAATCCTGTTTTCTGGTTTTGTTTTCACCAACTAGTTCCCCATTGGTCCCCTATCTCATGCTCTCCTCCCTCCCCAGGTAGGTTGGCTCCGTCGCGTGCTTAGGTGTTTGTAGGTTCTCGCTGTGTCAGGTTGGTTCAGGCGCTTCCGTCTCCCCCCCCCTCCGCTGGTCTTGGTCCGTGTCCGTCGACCCTCCGCTTTTTTCTTTTCCCTTGCCTTTCAGGGTTCGCCCGCTCCGGGCCAGGTGTGTTGGTGTGTGTTTTCTCCTTCCTTCTTCTTTTGCGTTCCCCTCTTCGCGTCCTGGTTAAGTAACGTTCATCTCATCTTCATTCTCATCTCATTTTTCACCCCCCGCTCATCCTCATTTTCATCTCATTATTACGCGCACCACCCTGCCGGAGGCAGGGTGTGTGTGTGTGTGTGTACCGTCTGAATAGACGTTAAACTTCTTTTACTTGTTATATATATATATATACGCGGGGGATCACCGGGGTCCCGGGGGGGTCGGTGATCAACGAAGACACCTCCCCGGGACCCGTGCAAACGTACCCGCGGGACTGTGGTGACGCACCTGGGCGCAATTATAAGACGCAGCTGGTGGTCACCATAGTCCCATATATATATATATTACTTCATCCTTATCTAAGTAACTAATCTAATCTGCATGTTACAGGACTCAGTTCCTGCCGGATCATATGATGATCCATTCTTGTCTAGTGTATGTAAATTGATCATTGACCCCTTTTCCCCCATTATCTCCCCATTGCCATCCCATGATTTTCCCATCATTTCCCCATGTAAACCATCAGTGAATGATGGTGAATCTCTTGAAGCTGCTAGGCTTGGGGCGATGGAACCGGATGTCTCACCACTCCGCCACTTGGACATTGGAGCGGAGCGGTAGAACAATGATGATATAATTCAGATTAATTCTGGTCTATTTCTCGAGATGGCAATGACACGCAAATAAATAGCGTCAACCGTTGGAAACCTGAAACCTGAGACAAAGATCATTCACGAACAAATCGTTGGAGAAGAACATGTTCCCATCTGTTTATGATGCCCCTACGTGTTTTGCAACGCAATTAAGTTCATGGCCGATAGGAATCAGGCCGAGGATCTGTATTACACACAATGTATGTTTATCAAGTTTCGAGAGAAAAAAACAGACGCCTAATCTATGACGCATTGTTGCAAAATTGCTCACCATTGTACCGTCTTGAAATCTATACTGGCAATGGAAAATCCATGAAAATCCAACATGTCCAGGTCATTCCAGGTAATCTATAGATGATAATTCTCCACTGTCAGATAGCTAGAAGTTTTTCTTACAACCTCATGAAACGCTATTCTTTTTCGATTAAAAACAAACTTAGCTGACTGACTATGGCACCACCTTGCCAAAACAATGCCATGGGCGAACAGCAACACAACTGCGGTTTGCTCAGGAAATCCGTCAGAAGCAACAACTTCTTCCGGCAAAACAGCCAAGACGACATGCAGGACCGGGCTGCCTATGTGTGCCATGGTCAAGAGTTGGACTATTATATATATATATATATATTTATTTATTTATTTATATATTATATACATATATCTATATGCATGTTTGTTTATCATATATATATATTATGTTATATATATATATATTTATATGGTGTTATATACTATATATATATATATATACAAATTATTTGTTATTTTGTATTATTGTTTTTATGTATGTATATTTATATATATGGATAGGTAAATTATATATAATATATTTAATATATACACATATACATATATATATATGAATATGTATATATATATATATATGTATATGTATATATATATATGTATATACATATATATGTATATATATATGTATATATATATATATATATAGCAACCCAATTTTGCTTTGGGGGAAGTCATTGATGGTCATATAATTATTCAACATGTTTTCTTCCCCTCATGGCCAACATCAGAATTCAGAATTTCATGGTGGGATGACCTTTCTTGTGGAGCCCATGTGCTGCATGGGTGGTATATCCACCTACAGTATGATTGCTGAAGATAAATGCTGGCAAACGCATGAACCTTCCATACATTAGACTCATTAGATATATTCCATTAAATGCTGATGTTCTGGCATTCCATTCCATACATCAATATTACATAATATGTGCTATTCCATACCTTGAGCATTTGTGTTGTTGGAGCTTCACCACTTTGAGCCCGGCTTGTGGGACCAGTTCGTGGACGGCCGCGAGTTCGGATGGAGCGTCGCGCACCAGGCGGCAGCAGCTGGTGAGGGTCGGGCACGATGTGGAATGGATGTAGGCATTAAAAATTGGGGATGTCACCAAAGAGTAATGGATAACATCGGAATTAAACTAAGAGTATATGTGGTGTGAGGCTTGCTGGAACATGGACAGTCCATTTTATCAGGAGTTGAAACATTGGGATTTTAACAATGAGTAGTAGGACAATAATTATATAATTATTTTTCGCAGGCATAGTGTGCAATATAGAACTATAGAAGTTATTTATATCCAGTCATTAGTCATAGGTCTATTGGTCTACAACTTCAAGGGATTATCTTCCAAACCTGTCTTGTGTCTGAAAGTGATGTATACCCACATGGTGATGAATTCGTTCACCAACAAGTTGTGGCAATTTGGGCTACACTATTTTTGTAGAACCCCTACAACCCCCTGGATTAAAAGCATCTTGCGTTGACCCAATTTTTTGTTGACTCATTTGAGCCCCCCAGCTGGGCCATGCTGGGCCAATATGCCAGGCCTGCAACCGGGGCAACCTCCAACTGGTACGTCAGCTGTCACGGAAGGGGGAAGCCTTGCTGCAGAAGTGTCAGGCGCGACGGTGCTGGATCTGCACATCTAGGGGGAAAAATGCGGAAAACCGCCACGTGACATGTGTAGATTGTTTTCCTAAGGTTTCCCCATAGGTTTTCCACATCTAAACGTTCACCCTAGGGGCATTTGTTCAGGCAAATCTTGATGAATGGCCGATTGGATGGCTGAATTGTTAGCCGCCATTCAGCCAGAGTTAGAAGCATGCTTTGTAGATAGCATGGAACGTTTATACCGATTGCCGGAACAATCTTGACAAGTAATTGGCCACGGTTACATTTTGGCACCACCAATGATCACAGGACAATCAACGCAATATTTCATGGCAATGAAAATCTGAAGCCATCTTTCAAAACATACTGTAAATCAAGATAATCAAATCAGTTGGTGAAGATATTATACCCATCCCAAAGATTAACATCACCGGGAACATCCAGCATGTTTGCGCCGCCTGATTCTTTTCTGGGCCCAGGCTGGCAACTCAGTGTTGCACGTGGCGGCGCGCTCGGGGCAACTTGAGGTTGGGGGGGAAGGGTCGCTGGGAGGTTGTGGGGATTTGTCGGCGGTGGTTAGCCCAGTTTAGCTCCCCTAAACATTGCAGTAGGGATGCAGCCAGGAGTTTGTTTTGAGGCAGAAACAAACGTTTTCACATCACAGGGTTTAGTTTTTCTTGCGGAAAACAATTGTCGGAAGAACAGGTGTATTTTAACAAGGACAAACATTTTGCGCCAAAAGGTTAGTTTCAGGGCTCAAAGCAAACCTTTCGGGAAACGTTTGTTTCAAACCCCACAATTCGAAACAAACTCAAACACGGCTAGTTTCAAACCCTGAAAACAAACCTTTTTTTCGGCAAGGTGAGTTAGTTAGTTTGGGGTGAAACATTTGTCTGAAACCAGTAGGTAGAGAGTTTGTTTCCACCCAGAAAACAAACTACATGACAAAACTTTAGTTTCCGTAGCTTTTTCCTTGGAACACAAACTGTTTCCTCCCACAGGTGCCAAGTTTGTTCTGCATCCGGGAATACACCTTAGTTTCCTACGTTTGTTCCCGAGCAACAAACAATTGTTTCAAAACTACAGTTTCTCGTTCCTATAATCGCTGTTTCACCAGTTTCTGGCGGTTTCAAACTTCCTGACTGATGCCAAAGCAAGATATAAATAAAAGCGTTTCTGCTTGCTTCCTGTCGGCCCCGCCCTGAATTGCTTTCAGTCTATCACATGCTCCTTGGGCCTCACCAATGACTATTGCAACTACCTCTCGGCCAATGACTCATGCGACCGCATCTCGGCCTCACCAATGCCTCATCCGACTGCATTTCGGCCTCGCCATTCTCTCTCTCTCGGCCTCGCCAATGCTTCGGCTTTGCCAAGACCATGCAACTGCATGTCGGCCTCGCCATCCTTTTTCGCAGCCTCGCCAATAACAGCCTTGCCATCCGTTTGCTGCATGCCCTCTTGCTCGGCCCTCGGCCTCGTATGCAACTGCATGTTGGCCTCCCCATGCATTTGCCGCATTTGTTCCTCTCGCCCTTGCATGACCCGTGCAACTGCATGTCGGCCTCGCCATTGTGTTTTCTGCATGGCTGCACATCGTCTTTCTATGCTATTGCGCGTTCTGCTATTTTTTGTTTCTCACTGATGCATACCCCACCGCTTTCTTGCAATGTAACTCCCACGTTTCCCGCGCTGGTTCTTCTTTTTTTTGTGCATGCTACCTATAACACACCACTGTCTTCACGTAGCCTGCACCGCCTTCTTTGGGTAACCTACCTGTTTGTTCTCGAACGCGCCGGCTTTTCACCTACTTTTCTACCTTGTTGGTGTTTTTTCTCAAAAACAACAACAGGTGCTGCAAAGTTCTGTTGCTTTTTTGGTTTGTGACTCTTAACAAAGACACCGCTTTCTTTAGGTAGCCTACATACTTGTCGTTTCAGTGTCTTCTTGCCCCAAACAGTGTGTCCACACTGAAGGGTTCTTATGGTAGGGGTAAAGGCCGGTGCTTGAGCAGGGTGCTCCATGTGGCTGTCTATTCTTTCCCCAAACAGTGTGTCCACACTGAAGGGTTCCTGTGGTAGGGGTCAAGGCCGGTGCTTGAGCAGGGTGCTTGAGCAGGGTGCTCCATCTGGCTGTCGGCATTTTTTCCCATCAATTCTCGCATAAATTGGCTTTTGTGACCTGTCCATGTGCGTTTCGATTGTGCAGGCTCGCACAGAGTATGCCGCGCGAGTTTGTTTGTTACTGTTCCATAGCTGTTCCTTGTATCTGGTACATTGACTTCCTACCCCCCCCGCACACTGTCTGGGGCCTCTTGCCGGTGTAGTTTTTCAAAGCAAACCGTGTTTTCAGTTTGTCAACAATACACGCAACAGTCTTTGTGTGTTTTTTTTTTTCGTGACCTACCTGTTTGTGTTTGTGGTTGTGTTTGTGGTTGTGTTTGTGGTTGTGTTTGTGGTTGTGTTTGTGGTTGTTGTGGTTGTTGTGGTTGTTGTGGTGGTTGTGGTGGTTGTTGTTGTTGTTGTTGTTGTTGTTGTTGTTGTTGTTGTACTCGTAGTGTTTTCGTTCTTTCAGAGCGAGCCGCTTTCTTCAACCTTTCGATAAACGTACCAACTTTTTTGGGATTCTTCCCGGCGGATTTCCGTTCTATGTTCAACACACACTGTTGCCATTCGCTTTGCGCCAGCCCATTTTCGAGCATGTCCAGTGCCCACGGTCGACAACACACCAAAATGCAGCACCAATTACCAATTTCCATTGTTTTTTGCTGACACAACTAGACGACGGATGGCCCGAGAGCGTAGAGGAGCAGGGTCTCCTGTTGTTAGTATTGAGACACTATATTACAAGACAGTATATTAAAGATGTAGTATAGGCAGACGAGAAGAGTAGTATCAAGACAATACATAGCAAGTACAAGACAATAGTTTGAATCGTATCCTTCGTATGGTTTTTCACACACAGAACCTTTTACACACAGACGCTTTTGCACACAGAAGCTTTTACACACAGAGACTTTTGCACACAGACGCTTTTACACACAGACGCTTTTACACACAGACGCTTTTACACACAGACACGTTTACACACAGACACGTTTACACACAAAATCGGTTACACACAGAAGCTTTTACACACAGACACGTTTACACATAGACGCTTTTACACACAGACGCGTCTACACACAGAAGCTTTTACACACAGACACGTTTACACACAGAAGCTTTTACACGCAGACACGTTTATATAATCAAACCTCATTTCGTTCGAAAGGGTTGTCGCGGCACACTCAAAATCGCAATTTTACCCCAGTTTTTGGCGATTGAACTTCATTTCGTGCGAAAAGGTTGCCGCAGCACACACACAAAATCGCAATTTTACCACAGTTTTTGGCGATCGAACCTCGTTTCGTGCGAAAGGGTTGCGTTTCGTGCCGTCTCGTTGGCACTGCCCCGCGCCTTCAAGAGAGAAATAGAAAAGAAGGAGAGAGCAAGAGGGCAAGAGAGCAAGGGGGCAAGAGAGCAAGAGGGCAAGAGAGAATGTGAAGATGTGAAGATGTCAAGATGTGAGGATGTTAAGATGTGAGGACGTCAAGATGTGAAGATGAGAAGATGTGAAGATGTGATGTGAAGATGAGAAGATGTGAAGATGAGAAGATGTGAAGATGAGAAGATGTGAAGATGTGAGGATGTGAAGATGTGAGGATGTGAGGATGTGAAGATGTGAAGATGAGAAGATGTGAAGATGTGAGGATGTGAAGATGTGAAGATGAGATGATGTGAAGAAAGATGAGAAGATGTGAAGATGAATGTGAAGATGAGAAGATGTGAAGATGAGCAGATGTGAAGATGAGAAGATGACTGAAGATGTGGGGATGAGCAGATGTGAAGATGCGAGGATGTGAGGATGAGAAGTTGCGAAGATTTGAAGGTGTGAAGATGAGAAGTTGTGGAGATGTGAGGATGTGAAGATGTGAGGATGTGAGGATGAGAAGATGTGAAGATTTGAAGATGTGAAGATGTGGAAATGTTTGGCAGACCCCCACTATTAGA